TAAGAAACAAGTAGTCTATAGTGCTAAAGCCTTAGTACAAAATATTTTATTGTCAAATATATGTTTAGAATTTTTTTCTCAGGTAAAATCATACAATCATCAGTAAATTTTTTCTATACAAAACAAAATAACAGTTTTGTCATGGTTCTTCGTTTGTATTTTGAAACCGCTGAAAGTCAACATTATTGTAAAACACTAAGTTAAATATTACTATAGACGAACCTCATCTATGCATCTCCACTAAACAGTTAGTTTATATGGATATCGGCATTTTAGTTACCAAACTGAGTCATTAAAACCTATTTTGCATTTAGAACCTGTTGATATGAAAAATTGTCCAATTCTACCCTCGAGAAAAATTCTAATTTTAAGCAGTTAAGTGCCCGAAAAGATGAATGAATATTTCGTATGAAGGCTTTGTGCGTCATAGCTTAATGTAAAGAGAAGCATATGAAGAAATTTTATATTGCTTCATTTGAAATGCATGAATCATTATTGTTATTTGAATATGAAAAGAAATTTCGTCGATAGGCTTTTCTTTTTGTTAGTTTGACAGTGTACTTAATCATTCGGGTCTTTGAGTTCGGTAATAATATGATAATTTTTAGGTTTCCTCGATGAAATAAATTGTGTAATTATAGATCGGTTGACTTAATAAATCTTTAATCGAGATAATCATTCTGCAAATGATATGATTGAATAAATGTCGGCGACAACAAATTTAAAAGGATTCTATTAAGAATTTGAATAAATTAAGAACAATACTTGCTAACGATATTCGTCTTTCAATAATAAAACTAAGGAATCAAGTTACAATTTTGCATAAAAAATTCAATAAAGTTTAATAACTACTGTACTTGAAAGGAATCCTTTGGACTTATATTTTTTCTTATAAATGAATTACAAAGAATACACTTATGCTTTTTAACTAATAAATCTTATTAACATACATGAATGGTTAGACATCAATACAGTTAACTTAATCAATCACTTAAGAAAATATCTCCATAAGAATCTATCTAAGAAAGTCAAAAACTCATTCCATGGATTATTAATTCAAGCTATTCTTTAAAAAAAACCAAGATCTCTTGTATGAGTGACTAAACCTTATTCAATTATATATATTGATCTTATTGAATACTACAAATGATTAAGAGATTCTATTTTTATACCTTTAATTTTTTTGGCAAAACCGAAATCAGTTACTTTTAAAAAACCATCAGCATCGATTAATAAATTTTCAGGCTATAATTATAGAAAAAAAAAATTTTTTTTTTTTGTTAAAATGTTAATAATTATTTGTTTTCCTACTTTAAGATCTCGATAAAGTATATCTAAATAATGAAGATATTCAAATGTTAATACAATTTGAGCAGCATAAAATCGAGCATGTGATTCACTATATATATAAATAATTAAAAATTGAAATAAAAAAATTTTATTTTAATCAATACCTAAATCGACCGACTTTACGTAAATGACTAAACATTTCACCACCGGGTACGAATTCCAAAACCATATACAAATAGGAATTGTCCTTTTGAATAAATAAAATTATTTAAAAAAAAATAAATTTTTTTTTTTTCTTTTCAAAATTTTCTACTTTGAAATGATAATCCAAATTGACAAGAAAAGGAAAGGAAATAGCTTGAAGAATACGTTTTTCATTAAGTGTATGTTCAATTTGTTTTAATTTAACAACCTAAAATAAACAAATAGAAGTTTATTTTTAAATATTTTTTTAAAAATATAATATTACTTTTTGTTTGTCAAGAATTTTCATTGCATAGAAATTTCCGTTGGATACATGTTTAACAAGCATAACACGTCCAAAAGAACCTTAAATTAAAAAATTAAATCATTAATTTGAAATTTTATATTGAATTCTTTTACCTGTTCCGAGCGTTCGTATACGCTCGAAATCGTCGGGTTTGGCAGTATTCTAAATTACAATGAAAAAATATAATCAATAGAACGTCTAACTAGACATTATAATTTTAACAAACTCTCATTACCATAACTAATTGTTGGTTATATAAACCTTGTGCTTCATGACAAAAAAGAATGTTGTTTTTTCTAGCATAATTATGTCAAAAATATTCATATACTAACTAAGAGTTTTTTATGTCATGAAGTAATTATATATTCTCTAGTCTGACAAATCTAATCGTCTTGAACAATACTCGAGTTTAAGTTTAAATTCTAATGAGCATTAATCTAGTAAAAATGTATATCCATAAGAGATTTTTACCTGTTTAACATGATCCAGGTCAAAAACTCTGACGTAAAACCTTATAGCGACTGAAAATTCTCATACGTTTTTGTTTGATCCGAGAAGATTTCAAAAAAGGTTTCAATTTCAATGTTATTTTTTTCCTGCATTTCAAGGTTTCGCATAAAATAACATGCATAAAGAATTTTAAAGTGTAAAGATTTAGTATTTTCAAACTGTGAAAGGCTTCAGATTATAAAACAATCAAATAGACTTATTTTCAAAATACAATTTCAAAAATATGATTTTTCTGAATGTCGAGACTCGTGCAGAACCTTCTCATAAGTAGACATATAGTTTCATTAAGTCTTAATAGGAACTCATAATATTTTAAGGTTCTTTCTAGATCATTATATACTATCAATAAGCAAAAAACAAACAATTCATTGAAATCTGAACGAGAACATATGAAGAGTATTGTTGATAAGTATGATAGATACTTCATATATTCTTTCATTCTATGTGGTTGTTTTTAGCATTGAAATTTAGTACAAAAAGTAATGATCAATTGAAAAAATAATAGTATACTTTTCATAATCTAATATTTGTTACCTGTGTTGACATTTTATAATTTATTAATATTCATATTCGTGTTGATTTTATATTTTTTTTTAAATAAAAATCACCGCGATAGATTGTTCTTTTTTTAGAAGAAAATATTAAAAAAAAAAAAACAAGAACTAAATATAAGACAAATGAATACGATGTTGATGATGCGTAGCGAAAAGAGAAAAAAAAAAAGATTTTTTTTTTCTTCTCTTTTTCTTCATATACTAATTGCTAACTCGGTCATCAAAATAGACAGACATTATAATTTTTTTATTTTCTAACTAAAATTTCTTTCTATTTTTAGGTTTTTATTTAGAGTATATTACCTGGCTTGGTTTGTCGTATTTAACTTGGAATTCATCTTTAGCTTTAGCTAAAAATGCTTTCACTAAAATAAAATAACAAATAAAAATAAGAAAATGATCTGTAAATATGTATATAATATCCTACACTTACAACTACCCCTTTCATGTGTAGTAATACTAGCAGCAGCGGCAGCACACATTCTTTTTTTTATCAAAAAAAGAAAAAATGCTTTGTACTTACATACACTTGCTCCTCTTTAGGTGAATTTTCAAACTTGTTTCACATGATTTATATATAGTGCGTGTTTGCTTTCTTCCAGAAGTATAATTAAAAAAAACTTCGAGTGTGGGTTGAATAGACAAGAGAACTAAGATGGTAACAAGGAACAACTACTGTGTACGGAATGAAAAGAAAAAGAATCCGTCTCGATCATTAGTTTTATGGTTCGTTTACAATTTAAAATAAGAGAAGGAGACTTTTTTTTTTTCTTTTAAATACATTTGAGGTTTAAAAAATAATTCTTTTATATTCGTTTCTTAATAAACCAAACAAAAATGATGATCCTTGAGATAGTTATGAGAAGGAAGAATAGATAAATTTCAAAAAAAATTTTAATATAAAGAATTGCACTTGTTGTATGTTTTAAAAAAATAAATACATCTATTCATTTGAACTAAATATTTTGTTTAATAATTCTTTTATATCAAATTGCTTTTTTATTTTTTTTTCTATAAATAGTTTTTTGTTCTTTTACATATAGAAATCCAATCTAACTAATTTAGTTGAATTTATTAATGTATCTACATTACGTTATCATTGATCTGTTTTAATTTTATATTAAAATAGTTATTTTTAGATCATAATTATTTGTAAATTAGGATATATCTTTAATGCTAACGGATTTCTAATATGCGAAACAGAATAAAGATTAGTCTTAATGATTGAAAATGCGAATATAAATATTGTTTATTATAGAAAAACGTTCTATGTATTACTATTATACATTATCACAGTATGTCAGCTGCGCTAGCAAGTTATTTGCCGTGCGTTTGTTCTGTCTGTCTTATTACCATCATGTCTTCTCAACAGTATATATATATAAGAAGCCTTGAGAGAATCGATGATGATGGTAATAACAACGACGTTGACGAGAAAATCTGGACACAAAAACAAATCAATATGTGCGACGTGCTCGCAAGTATGAATAGCAATCGAATCAACAACAAGTACTAGTAATGACACCATAACAATCCTCAGTCTTTCCTTTCTGTTTTCTTTTCCTTTCGTGATGTTATTTTTTCTAATCATATTTAGTGCACTGAACACAGAACAAGTATAGGAATTACGATAAAAACTCATATAATTGGGAACGAAAGAGAGAGAGAGAGAGAAAGAAGAAACACAAGAGAAAAAGAAAGTTAGTTTATGTGCGTCAACATGCTGTAGTTATGGAAAATAACATGAAAACTTGTCGCCAAACATACAACTGTTACATATTACATTCATAATCGATTTCTATGTGTACACGTCACCTTTATATTCAGTTTCTTCTATTTTTTTTTTTATTTTTATTTTTATATTTTTATTTTTCTCTCGTTTTTTTTTTTTTTTCTTTTTTCCTGCACAGATGAAAAATGATTGTATTCACGAGGCGAACACAAATATTGTAACATGCATTTGCATACTTGCAGTGATTTCCGATGGATGGCCACTTTTACTTTTCATTAAAAACTCTTTTCTTTAGTCATCATCGAACGGTTACGAGTACCCACGTATATAAATATATAAGAAAAGAAAAATAAAGCGGAAGATATGTAAATGTCAAAGCACATAGACAAAATATCATTTTTGATCTATTGGTGGCAACGTATATCTAAATACTTTTGTGTATATGTGTCAAAAACGAAAGAAATGATATAGAACTAAAAGAAGAAAAAAAAGCGAAGTGTAAATATTGAATACCTCTTTCAGCTGATTGAGAATTGACGGATGCTGCATTTGTTGCTATTGCCGATGATGATGATGATCCTTGATGACGATGTGAATCACTTAATGTTGTATGTTTACCATCAGCTGAAGTACTAGTTTTAAGTAATGATGATCCATCTTTGTCTTTGTCTTTGTCTTTGTCTTTATCTTTATCTTTATTATCTTTTGATTTTGATTTTTCACTTAATTTTGATGATATACGATCTCTAAGTGCCTGCATAACAGACAGAATAATCCTGTCTGCTCGTAATGTATGATACTAATAATAAGACACTTCTTATGTGTATGATACACTGTCTCTTTGTCCTGTGTTGTTAAAAAAGCAATGTCGGTAGGTTGTTGTTATTGTTGTTGTTTTTTTGCTTCTGGTTGTTAGTGATGGTAGTGATGTTGGTATAGTGTAAACGCACAGCCAGTAAGCAGTCAAACGGAGAGAAAGATAGATAGTCTATCGGTTTTTTTGATTTCTTGTGTATGAGCGTGGCGCGCCGACGCGAGAGATATTTATCGCAATATCTTTCCGACACAACGAACGAACGAGCGAACGAACGAACGACGAGAACGAGAAAGAACCAGTGTGCAAAATGCGCAGAGAATGAGAAGAGAGACAAAAAGAGAGAGAGAGAGAGACACACAGAGAGAAAGGGAGGGGGAGAGAGCAAGCAAGCGAAAAGAAACAAGCGTGTAAGTAAAGAAGTATAAAGAGAAATAGCAAAGAAGGTTGACTCTTTTCTATGTATATATCTTGGTACCAATATCGAGACGCTATTATTATGTCGTTGGAATGATGAAAAGCAAGAATGGAATTTTGTCCAATTTAATTGTCTATCTGTTGTGTTCTTTTTTTTTTTTTTTGTTCGTTCTCTATATGTCGAAAAAAGATTTTAATCGTTTGATCAGCACTTTACTTTCGCTCTTCACGATAATTTTTTTCTATATGTCGATACTGAAAAAAAAAATTGTTGACACCTTTTCTCGCTCACTTTCTCTCTTTCTTTCTGTATTAATTTTACAGGTACTATTCAAATATACTGTATTACGTGCATGATTTTATGATTTCGACCTTTAAATATATTTCTATATTTGCAAATACCCTTATATTCTAGTTCAACTATATATAATTATACTAAATATGATTCATCATATAAGAATAAAATTGACTTCGGATAGAGATAAAAGAAAAAAGAAAAAAGAAAAAGAAAGAAATGAAGAACGAGAATATGATAATGCTCGGTGAAGCGTCACACATGTGTGCGTAGATTTGTAGGACAGTGATTATTATCTTCGATTTGCTGGATGAAGTTCATCTCTTTTTTTTTTGCTATGATAGACATCGACTAATGTCCTTATACAAATTATCGTATTACTTGCTTGAGGCAATTCACTGATGTGTATATGTAAAAAGAAAAAAGAAAAGAAAAAGAAATGGTTTTAGGTTGAATCTATGATAAGAAACATTTATTTATATGTACTAAGAATTTAATATCATTACTTTGATTTAATTTAATTTGAATATATGAAAAATAGAATAACCTTTTTTTTTTCTTCACTTTCGAAAATCTTAGATTTAACAATATTCGATTCATTTTACATTTAAAACACAAACCAAAAATCCGACTTATTGATAGATGACGCTATGTATCATAGGTTTATTGATATCTTGTAATAAGTTTTGTTTGTGTCACTTTTCTACTAAAATAATCTACTTTTCTATGTCTTAAATATTGTATACAGTTGATGGTATCATTTTCATATGACAGTTGACGATTAAGAATAAATAACGAGACATTGTAAAACAAAAAAAAAAGAAAAGAAAAGCAAAAATCTCTTTGACATTTGTACATTTATCATTTTTAATATGAGAAAACAAGGAGAAATCAAGTTTTTTTTTTTTCTATAGTTATTAGTCTTGTCCCTACCAAGCCTTGATTTATTGTATGACGTTTGTTGTTTATTATATGCTTTTTAAATCTTAATTTATTATGACACCTCGTTTTTTTTTCATGGCGTGATATCCGTGCGTGCAAATGAATGAATTGTATTGTGACCATGACACTGACGAACAATGAACTATTTTAGTCTCTATTTATAAAGACATTTAATCTATAAAATATCTCAGGAGTGCAAAATGAAAATCATAATTATCTTCTAATCTTCTTCGAAAGTATTTTGAAGTTAATTCACAAGAATAACATATAAAATTTCGCACGTATGTGTATGTGTGTTGTAGGTGCAAATATGAATAATGTTATGTTTTCTTTTACGGTTTCGTTCTATGGTTAAAAATTACTATGCTAATGATCCGAATTTATAACCATAATGCTTTTTTGTTTGTTTGTTATATAGCGAAAAAGAAGATGAAAATTTATGGTTGGTAAAAAAACCTAAACTTTGATTAATGTTCTTTTCTTTTTTTTTTTTTCTTTTCATCGGATGTTATTTAATCTTTAAGACTAATTTGATCTGAAGGTATCAAATGAATAAGGAAGGAAATGAAGTAGAAAACTATTTTTAGTCTACTATTTTGTACTTACAGTAATCAACTGAATAATGTGAAGGATAAGTAGATAGTGATATTAAACCGGTATGGTCATCAGCAGTTAATGATGCACCTGCTGTTGATAGACTTGTTGATGTTCCACTAGCTGTAGTCGTGCTAACAGAATCATCGGTATTTGTAGAACCTATTTCTTTATTTTTTTTATATTTACGAGATGGTCGAAAACGTTCTTTAAACGATGGCATTATACTATGATTGCAATATGAACATCCGATAATAATCTAAGTATTGTCGTTGTCTGTAACTCTTTCCTTCTCTCTCTCTCTCTCTCTCTCTCTTCTTTTCTCATTCTATTTTTTTCTTACTCGTTTTTCTCTTCTCAATAGCAGATGAACAGCAAACTCAAGCGAGTGTCACAGCATATTACTTCTTCGTCAGGGTTTTTTCTATTATTTAGTTTTTTTTTTCTTGTTTTGTTTTGCTTTTTTTCTTTACAGCGTCAAACCCGCACGCGTTAAGAGATATCTATAGTTACAAGTGGTATGCCATTAAAGTCCTTCTTTCTTTCGACTCGTTTCCGTTGATATTAGATGTTTAAATTTGTTGCACGAATTTAATGCAAACTAATCATATCTCGTTTCTTTTCTCTTTTTTTTTTCTCTTTGATTTTATATCACTCGTCAAAATAGATGATGAATTTAATCAATCGGGAACAGTATAATATATATTTTTTATATAAATTAACTATATGTATTGTCATTTATTGTTTGTTCTATTCTCGTTTATAATTCTTCAAGGAATTCTTTCGGAAAGCATGACTATAGTATAAGAGATTTATTAAAAAGAAAAAAAAAAGAGACAAAAAAATTGTCATTTATTTTCTAAAATGAGACATCATTATTTTCCGACTATATACAAGATTAATCCGAATGATTATTTATTTTTTCATGACAAAAAGGAAGAAGAAAGAAGAAAAAATACTACTTGACTATAATTATTAGAGAAAAAGACTAAGCAGTAGTATTATTATCAGTGTGTCTGAAAAAAAAAGAAAAAAGTCTAATATAAAAATAAATATATTTATGTCTTATATGTAAATTACAATTAATTCAAAAATTAGATGAAAAATTTCTTAAACGAATATTTTTCTAACAAAAACAAAAAAAGAAAGAGCTAATCTATTGGAATGTAATTTGTTTTGTTGTTGGTATAATTCTAATTTATGAATTGAATTAGTTCAACTATCCATAAATTGGTTTCGAATTATCAGATTCTAACTAATTCTTTGTTTTACAATGCTTTGATGCATAAATCATTATAATTAAATATTAACATAAATGAAAAAAAAACAAACAAACAATAGATAGTCTCTATATCATAAAAAAAACAATATTGTTGAATAATAAAATTAGATAAAGTAAATTGAATAATTGAACTATTTTCTATTTCAATAAACAAATTGTTTAGATATAAATCAATATTGAGAATAGAAAATTTTCAACGAGAAGATCTCATTTCATTAACAGTAATTTAACTATGTTTGTTTTCTAACGAATTCGGAATATGATGTTGATTACAAACTAAGAAATATTCACCTAAATGATTGATATTAGAAAATCGATCACTGATTAATCGTTTTTAAGTCAAAGTTATATACAACATCAAAATCCGACTGAATTTTGACAAAAGTTCGAGTCCTTAGCTTATTGTTGCTTCGATACTGCATTTTTATGGTACTTTTAAATGAATGTCATGGTTGTCTCCTCGGGAAGATTGATTTTCGCCTTGAAACTTTTCACAGAGACACATCAGGTGAAAGTTTCGAGTGATTGGTAGCTTCTTTTTCTGAATATTAACAATCGTGGTTGCTTTGATTTTTAATTACATAAGATATTTTACAACTACCATTATCTTTTGCACTTAAAACCAAAGTTTCCATGGGTATCTATAGCTTTTACAGGTACCTGAAGCTTTTACCATAAGCTATCCTCAGGGGATCGGTCTTTATGGAAAAGTTTGAAGTCGAGTACTTATTTTCCTGAGATTGACTACAGCATTCATTAAAAGAAGTACTGTAAAAATGCAGTGTCTTCGCAATAATAAGTTAAGAACTCAACTTTTTCAAATAGTTCATTTTGGAGAATTAGAAATCTATTCGGATAAACAAAATCGATGAAATTCAATTAACTATTAGTGATTATATTTAATCAAATAACGGCGTGTCATTCAATACGTGTTAATGGTATATTTATTCAATTGTTTAGTCTAAATTCAGTTCGTCGATTATTAGGCATCAATGATTTCTCATTTAGCTGAAATATTTCATTTATTACATGTTATTGAATCATCTTAAAGTTAAACCTTTCGACAAAACTCTATGAAAAATATCTCTCAAGTCTTCATGGAAAATTCCCATATACTAACAAAACATTATAAGAATGTTTTAGCTGCGGCGATTATTCTCAACACATCGTACGAAATCAAACTACTTCTTTATTCGATTAGTTTTATGTGTCTCTCAGAATCTATCATAACATCGTAATCCCAACTAAAATAGCTACAAATCATAACAAGGTCTTTTGAGATTTCATCGTATTTATTTTTGGAAATCATTAAAAAATCCGATAGTCAAATATCTTGTCTGAAATGTCATCGACTTTCTAATTTGACAAAAGGATGAAATAATCAACATTTTGGAAACTTATGCAAATAAAATAATTTTATATACACATATATTCATGTTTCTATTATTTTTCTTTTTTCTTAAAATGTTTCACAAGAAAAATAAATTAACAAAATCGACTCTATGAACTAATCGTTATTTCAGTCAAGGAAATTACTTTAATAAGTCACGCAAATTTCTTTTCAATTACGGATAAAAATCGCACAAAAATAAGATATTGTTCATAGGATACTTAATGAATGAACAATTAAAGAATAATACTCTCGATATTTTTAAAAATATCTCATTTAAAAAACACAAAAATATTTGTTGACTTTTTAAATAAATTACTTCATATCTTTTAAATCTTTTTTAATTACCGTGTTGTTTTTTTATTTTCATTTCGATGAAATTCATGACGATAACCAAATTATCTTATATATTAAATTCCAATGAAACTTAATCTAGACGATTGAGACATCAATAGGCTTTATCGATAAATAATCTTTACATTGCAGCAAGGGATACATATGATTCCTAGAACGTGATATCAAACAAAATCGTTTTTTTTTCTTTATAAGAGTATAATTCCCTGCAGATTGTTTCTATGAGTTATGATCAGGTTTATTGTGCTATATCCGAAGCTTTGATTAAAAATTTGCATTGTTTTTCTTTTTGATCAATTCTGAAACCATTCCTTTGTATTCTATGACAACTTCAGATAGAAGAAAAAATAACTCATCAGAGCCGGTAGAAACAATTGACAGAGAATTACATTCATAATAAGAAAAAAGAAATATCTTTGACATCATACTATAGAAATTGGCGTATTCCTAATCACAAGTTTGTTATGTTTGTCACCCACAATTTACTAATAGAACTACTGGTTTCTTTCTTAATAACCTCATTTCTACTCCATAGAGCTATGATATACTAGATAAACTTAACGATACCATAAACTAAGTATAAGGTAAATATTTAAAAAAAAACCGAGTGCAGATGTATTTACATCGGGTTATAGACGTTGACATTATGACTAATAATTTTTCTTTTTTTTTGTGAAAAATAAAAAGAATTGGACAATAGATCATATATAGTCTGAAAGTAGAACTTCTGCTCTATTCAGACTAGAAAAGATCTCGAAGGTTTCTTTCTCATCTGTTGCCATTGTAGAGTTAGAAGAAGTTTTGGAGCAAAATTTGTTTGCCCAGCTTTTTATAGATGTCGTGACAAAGTTTAAAAAACCACTGTAACGGTCATAACTCCAAAAGAGCAGTTTTTCAGCAATTCGATCTCGACGAAACTTTCACAAGATATTACTTTATATCTGAAGCATAAATTTTGTTAGTTCAAATGTTTCTGGGCTGAGATACAGGTTTTTCTAAAAAATTTAATTTTAAAGATTTTTTGCGATTCCTTTCTCATAGAAGCACTTTGAGAGACAATTAAAGATATATTTGAAATCAGCGTGAAAAATTACATCTAGTGATAGACAATTTGCGAATTTTTAAAATAAAAAAGAAGTTTTTATAGAAGTTTAGGGTAAGAGGTTTTTCATAGATGGTGATCTTTTTCTTCATGAATTTTATTTTTGAATACAAGAATCTAATATTTTCATGAAAAAAAAATTTCGTTTTCTAGAGAAAATAAGACTTTTTTCTAGCCAATTGAAAGACTTATTTTCAATAATAAAAATGTCTTCAGATTTGATAAAGAAATGCTTAAGACATTCCAGAAATACATTCATATTACTAAGAATCATTTTTTTCTTTTATGAAATCGAAACTTCTTTATTAATTCTTCATACATTACGAATGATTAATATCTTTTTTGTGCGTTATAAAAAATAACTAATTATCACGCAATTGATTCTTTAGATATCGAATAACTTATTTATAAGAAATTCAAGCCTTAATGAGTTTATATACAAAAATTATTTCTAAACTGAACTATAGAATTAATGAAATATGAGTGATGTAGAAGATGTTATTGTATAGATAAATAAAGAATTAATTTAACACAGAGAAGATCTGAATACATATATGAAATTGTTTTATAATAAGTCAATAGGTATTATCATAAGCAAACAAACTCTTATGTTTTATGCAAAGCTTCTTCAGTTGAAAAAAAAAAATCTTATCAAGATTTCAGACAATCTCTCAGAACAATTTTTAATTTGTCAGATCTTATAACAAAATCTTGCGAAATCTTATTATTTTCCTATTGTTAAATTCTTGATGCACTATAATTAAGAAAATCATTCAATGTTCTTATTATAGGAATCTTACAAAAAAAAAAAAATTGTTTATACAAGATGTTGTAGAATTATTTGACATGCATGAAATTACTCAGATTTCATCAAGTTCTTTTTGTTTATATAATAAATAACATCATCATCTTGAACTATACTGTAGTCTATCTTGATTTTTATTGATAGTTTCTAATTTGACATATTTTTGTTTCATCATATAGAACAGCTTACGCTCTATTCATATCTGATTCTAATGTTTTTTTTTTCATTGTTATTATTGGATTGATAAGATCTAATTATAAGTTCCTTTGTACTTAAAATTATTTATTGCT